TTTGTATGGTTTGGTTATTTTAGAGCAAAAACATATTGGACTATCTGATGTGTCCCCCGTGGGCAACTGAACCTCGAATGTTAGCATTGTAAGTCCTTAGACCTACCACTGTATCACTAGGGGACATTGTGCCTTCTGTCTGATGGATCTTATACTTACAAGTCTGCAATGGGACATATGTTTGGTCACATGTTTCAAGCCACTGTTGAGAACCTAAGAATGGTATTCCAATGCATCAATAATGAAAATTTGAAATTGAAACCAGGAAAGTGTATTCATGCACACACAAGTGGAGATTCTTTATCATACATTAAATAGGATCTTGCAAAGATTGCGTTGGTCAAGCACTGGACCAAGCCCGAAACTAAAGGTGATGTCCACGGTCTTACAGATTTCGAATCTTATTATCAACGATTTGTGACCAATTTTTCCAAGATAGTCACACTATTGTCCGCGTTAATCAAGACCAATGCACTTTTCATGAAAACAGGTATGTGAGGACATGTATGAGCACTTAAAGTGTGCTTGAACTAAGCACTGATGCTGGCTTATTGTTGAAGAGGCCGTACCTTCATTCCAGGATACAGATGCCAATTATGCTGGAACTGGAGTGGTTTTGACAGAGGTATAGGTCTTTATGTAATTAAGTATGAACTTCAAAAATTTGAAAAATACAATTTTGAGTTTGATAATGATGTTGCAAGAGTTAAATTCATTGTGCATCACTGCCTGGGTCAACAGCATGGAAATGTTGACAGATAATCTCACCAGCCTGTGAAATCATGTTCGTTTGTTGAATGTTCTGATTGTGGACACTGTACACCAGTTAAAGCCAAAGTGGTGACAATCCTACATTTGGATGTAGATCATGAATTACTGGAAAGAGCAACCAAAGAACTAGACGTGGCTTGGCCACTTTTTGCTGTTACCACCACAACTTTGAAAACGTAGACACTTTAGTTAAGTCCAATTCATATTTGCTGGCTAAACCTTGACTATAATGCTCTGGAGCACCTAAAAGATCCATGTTGATCAAGGAGCAATAACCAGTTGCTTGCTAATACTTAGATGTGGTGAAAACATCCAGTTCATTATATTATCCTTTGTCTGATAACTTGGCGGAATGGGTGTAAGAGACTATCAAGTGCATGCTTGCTAAATTTGTAAACTCTGGCCATAGTGATGTAAATGACCATAAATGCTGTAATGGGCTTCTCTGAATCTCCTAATATTCATACGAAAAGTAAAGATCCTAGTGCATATGCCTTCCACCCAGTGCAGATGTGTCACACCATCGATAGGAATATGTGTAATGACTGTGTCCTTCAAAAGTTGATGCACGCGAAATTGTGTGACAACAAACGAATAAAGTGGCCAGGTATAAAAAGAAATGTTACCACAAACCAGTAATGGAGCAAAAGTTTGATCACGGTGAATGGGTTTGGCTATGATATGTGCTAGCAGCGCGTGTTTAACTTGGTTGTAGCTGAATTGGTTTCTAATTTGACTATGGACAACTCATTGAGATGAACTATGAATTACAGCAGTCATGTGATGCTTGCTGTTAGAAACTTTCTGAACAAATTTGGGATCCAGCGCGTAAGTCAACACACCTAGTGTTGTGATACCAGGCAAAAGTGTACCTGGTGGTGTGAAATATATGTGCCAATAAGGAAGTTTTTATTTAACACAGCATCAGAAATCAACATAGACTATATAAATCAAGCGAAACGTGTACCACTTTACTAGATATTTTTTGTCTGGATTATTTTTCACTTTTATTTGACGTAATGAGTTTTACGACCCCTAGATGGCAGCGCTACTAGAACAAATATGTTATGATAGAAAAAAGTAGTTTGCTTTTTTTTTTTTCCGTCTGTGCACCTATTACATTGGACTATGTATATATATATATGTGTGTGTGTATTTTATAATTGATGACAAACGAATTACTTTGTGCGTAACTATGTGAAAGTAATACATACAAAAGCACAATTTTCAAGCAAATAACGAATTTAGTTTGGAAGTTTAGACCGCATTGAGAACAAGAATGAATATGGTGTTTGTATTGTCTGTTTCTTAATGCGGGTAAGGAATATCTTCAGTTCAGTCTTAAACTGGAATATTTGTTATCTTCTGATTTCTCATTGATTGAAAGACACGTAGTTGCTAGAAAATTTACATCACACTAAGTGAAAAACGTGGTCGACCATTCGTTGACACTGGTGTTGAGGAAGAAATGTTTTACAGTTGAGGCAACTTAGATGTTCATGGTTTATGTAACTGAACTTTTAAGGGTGAGATTACTTGTATTTGTTCATTTAGAACATAGATAGCCAACTGGCAGCCAACGAAAGTATGTTATTCGGCCTCATATCCTGTTTTGGCAAACAGAAAACGAAACCGTGCTCAAGGAAACCAGTTTCGTGATGGTTCTGAGAAATTTCTTTAAATGTTAACTCAGCTGTTTATTCAAAACCATATAATTAACTGGGGATCTATAGTAGGTAAAAAACAGGCCCACGAGCATAAAGAAGCCCAAACTACAGTCTAGGTAAGAAACAGGCCCACGAGCATAAAGAAGCCCAAACTACAGTCTAGGTAAGAAACAAGCCCGCGAACATAAAGAAGCCCAAACTACAGTCTAGGTAAGAAACAGGCCCACGAGTATGAAGAAGCCCAGACTACAATCTAGGTAAGAATCGGGCCTAAAGAAGTTGGCCTTTCTTGAAAGTAAGAAACAATGTACATATTGTTTTAGAGTAGTTTCGATTAAGAAATATGTCTGGTTTGTATAATCGAACAACTTTCAAACTTTGGTGGATATTACTATATGTTTGGTTTCGATATTTTGTTTCTTAACGAGGTAGTTATTATACATGAATTTTGGGTTAACTACATTTATTTGTAGTTTTATGACACCATTTTTGTTTTGACTAAAAAAAAATATTTCTGGATTTGTTTTTGAAGTCAAATGGGATTTTTACTTAATTATTAGGTTTAACTTGTGTCAGGCGTTTGCTTGCATTTATGCCCTCCCTTACCCCCTTTAGAACTAGACTTTGCTTATGTAGTACTCAGAGAATGGCGGACGAACACATGTGTATGTGAAATAGCTGTACTCACTGACCAGTTAAGACTGTCGTCATGGTCCAGTGAGGTCCGGGTTCTAGCCAAGTTAGCTTTATATGCATTGGTCCCATGAGAAGTTACATGTGTATTATATTCACTAGTGCTTAGGACAAATATTAATTTACATTTTAGGGGTGAATGCATTAGCCATGATTATTGTGTGATGCAACATGTGCGTTACATCGTGTAAAGACGATCTTTCTTTAGAATGGTTGGGTTGACTTTAAGTTTCAATCATGATTTTTACTATATAAACCCATGATTCTTGACCATTGGGTACATTGCAATAATGAAGGACAACTTGCTTATGAAACCGGAAGGTTTCAGTGAAGTACCAACGACTCCTGGGAAAGATCTGAACTGGCCAGCTTCTGAACCAATGTAGCTGGCAGAAATATTTGCAACCAAACCAGTTATAGTAAGGGCTTTGGACCTGCCAGGATGAACCTAAAAATCTTAATCTCTGGTGTCCCACTAGTGTCTTGGTGATAATAGTCGCACACGAACTGACATCTGATCCTCCATTTCAAACAAATGAAAAAAAGAAAACATCAACACCCTTGCCACCACAAATGTCATTCAGCTGGATGCACTGTCAACCATGGCCTCGAAAATGGTTTCTGCCAAATCATATTGCAGGTCATGGAACAATGGTGTCAGCACTACAATCAGGATCAGGTGGCAGAATGTATGTAGGTCTGGGCACTGACGTACAAGGAAGATGTCCATCTGAGGTGAAGACTCAAGACTCCGTGATGGTTGAAACTCTCTCGCAGGCCAGGTGAGGACTATAATCTCAATCTCTAAATCATACTTTTATGGAAATATCCATGTGGAATTAGAAAAGACTTTCCTACCAGTTTGTTTACAGCCACACCAACAAATACATCAGCATGAGAATTTGCTGAGTTACAAATCAACATATTTAAGATAATATCATATGCAAACACAGTGTTCTGAAAACATAGTTATTTCATATCTAAACGTCTGTATAAGAATCAAGAAATACAAATCGGTATAATGTTCAAATCCCAGAACAGATAGTTACAAACAGAAACCTCTATTGGTTACAATACATGTAAAGCCCACGAAATACCAATCGCAACATCGAATTTGCAACTCTGTCTGTTGTCTAATTTTACCTTTTTTTAAAGTTCGCTATATCGAAAGATATCAATATATATATATATATATATATATATAAGTAATTTCAACTTTGCTTTTTTTCATATAAAAATTATTAAAAGATGACACAAGTATACATTAAAGTTGGACTGAGACTTCTACTTTTCGTCTTGCCCATTCCCATCTTGAAAAAAAAACTGGCGCTCTTATAAATAGTTAAACAAACCCACAACAGCCATATTAAATAATTCGTTTGCTTGTTTGTGCTCAAAGCCACACAACGGGCTCTCTGAACTTTATACACAGCAGATTGTTTGTTTTTAATTATGCACAAAGCCACACAACGGGCTCTCTGAACTTTATACACAGCAGATTGTTTGTTTTTAATTATGCACAAAGCCACACAACGGGCTCTCTGAACTTTATACACAGCAGATTGTTTGTTTTTAATTATGCACAAAGCTATACAAGGGCTATCTGTGCTCTGCCCACCACGGGTATCGAAACCCGGTTTCTAGCGTTGTAAGTCCGCAGACATACCGCTGTGCCACTGGGGGACTCCACAGCAGAGAATCCAACGCTGGATTTTACCGTTGTAAGGCCGTAAACTTACCGCTGACCCAGCAACAGACACTTAAATCCGGACTTTGCAAGTTTTTTTTTCTGCATTTGATATCAAGTTTTAGTTATCTTTTCCAAACAGATCAAATAAAAGAAACTTTGCTAGTTTCTCTAATTCTTACCTTGTAAATCTGATAGGACAACTTTGTGGTCGTAAGATCCCGTTAGCAGATAGTAAGCCTTGGGGGAGAAACGAATGGTTCGAATTTCTGCAGAATGAGGCTGAAAGCATTGAATTATCTTCCCGCCTGTGACGTCATACAACATACACGTAGAATCATCGTGGCCAGAAACAAGCAGCCGTCCTGATGGATCAACACACACTGAGGCGACTGGACTGCCTAAAATACAATAAGCCGTTTGTTATAAAGTTTGTAACTCGTAAACTATCGTTTTTATGTCGCACCTTTTCTCATTGTCTTTCTCTTAAATGTAATTCTTGAAATATTACATATATATATATATATATTAATGTTGGTAGATTGTATTCTTGCATCGTTTCGAATGAACTGTTTTTTTTTTACATACTGGAAAATAAATAAATCTGTTTTGTAATTTATACAAATCATATTCGTTGTGTCATGTTATTAAAACCAGTCTTTTAGCCATGATTAAATCAGAGACGAAGTAAACTTTGTGTCAGCTTTGTTTATACGCACAGATTTGGTGCTCTTTCATTTTAAAACAATTTTTATCCTGGTGCATAATGCACCATATGATGCTAAATCTTGAGTAATGATGCCAAATGTTTCATCGTACTATTAGTTATCGTAATAAGATCTTAATTTTTTTTAAATAATAATAAAAAAGAAGTTAGTTCATTTTATTCAATCATGCTTGAAGAGATTAAATATGGTTAAATTTATATCTAGTTTTAACTGTGAAATCATAAAACGAAAGTGTTATCAAAACATCAGGGCTAGATTTATTTGAAAATTTGGACAGCCTACCTGTTTCGGAATGGAATATATATATATATATATAAGTGTATCAAGAAAATTTATTCTTTATCACTATACCCTCCCCCCCCCACCCACACACACATTGGGGCTATCTTCCTAGTAAAGCCCTCCCCCAGCGGGTCAGCAGTACGACACTAAAAATCGGATTTCAATACCCGTGGTGGGCAGAGCATAGATAGCCCATTGTGTAGTTTTGTGATTAACAGCAACAACCAATTAATGCTAAGTATAGAACATATTGTTGGTGTGAACGTGCTTTATAGTCACTAGGAGAAAAACCTATACACTGTAGAAGAAGTGTCATCGGGCACTATTCCTGAGTGTAGCTGCTGCCATCTATGAGCATCTTAATATATCACCTCACAAGGCAAAGACCCCTTTCATGATTTTGTGTCGTTTTTGTTGAATTTTGCCCAAATCTACTCGATGGTTATATGTATTAGCCACTCCTGATTTTAAAATGATAGACTACATGGAAGGCAGCTAGTCAACACCACCCACCGCCAACTGTTGGGCTACTCTATACCAACGAGTAATGGGATTGACCGTAATATGGTAACACTCTACAACCAAAATAGCGAGCATGTTTGGCGACGAGTTTCGATTGCGAGTCGAGTACTCTAACAACCAGCTTATGCTAGGCCTCATGATCACACCTACAACGTAATCTCGAGATCACATCTATCATCATAACTGCTTTTACATTTAAAATTTCTGTAATACAGACACATATAGTTTAATTTGTATTACAGGAAATGAATTAAATAATTTGGGTGTCTCATTAACCTTTTTTATTTTACACGTTATTTCATCACTTCTCATGGTTGTTCAAGTTCCTAAGTAATGAAATCCCACATCTATTATAAACATTGGGGTATTTTTAGTTGTGATTGATTTCATTTTGTAGGCCCGGCATGGCCAGGTGGTTAGAGCGCTCGACTCGCAATCTGAAGGTCGCGGGTTCGAATCCCCCATCCCACCAAACATGTTCGGTCTTTCAGCCGTGAGGGCGTTATAATGTGACGGTCAATCCCATTGTTCGTTGGTAAAAGAGTAGTCCAAGAGTTGGCGGTGGGTGGTGATGACTAGCTGCCTTCCCTCTAGTCTTACACTGCTAAATTAGGGACAGCTAGCGCAGAGAGCCCTGATGTAGCTTTGCGCGAAATTAAAAAAAAACAACAAACAAATCATTTTGTAATCCTAGAACGCCTTTCATGTGTCACCAAAATAAATCATTAGTAACCAGTATTAGTTCTTAATGAGACACGGAGCTGTAATTAGAATAAACACAAACAACCCTATATCATAACAAGCAACAGCTTCCTCATATCCGTGCAAACTATTACAATAAATATGAAACGATCATATCAAACTTGATATAATTTACAATCATATAAGAGATTATGTTACATGCGTATTTGTTTTACCCTAAGTGTAAATACAATTATACACAGAAGTGATACACGCATTTCATGTGTCGGGGTATGTGCCAAGTATGATATAAGCCAAAAAAAAATCATCCAAGCAGTAAAAACTTTATTGTTAGCCAACTGTCTAAAACTCACTTGTTACCGCGAAACACCTTAGTCAGCCACAATCTGATTGAGGTGTTTAAGATTGTAAAGAGAATTGATAGTGTTGACGCACCATCTTTTTTTTTAATTTATTTAACAGTGAGAATAGTAGGACTAGGGGGCCACAAATATAAATTTTGGAAAGGTAGCAGTCAGCTTCAGCTAAGACAGTTTCATTCCTCCAACAGGGTGGATGGCCTTTGGAATGGGTTGCCTTCAGATGACCCCCCAGTGGCACAGCGGTATGTCTGCGAACTTACAACGCTAGAAACCGGGTTTCGATACTCGTGGTGGGCAGAGCACAGATAGCCCATTGTGCATAAATTCAAACAAACAAACAAAGCCTTCAGATGTTGTAGAGGCAGTAAATTTAACTGAATTTAAGAAAAAGCTTGATAAGTATATGAATGAAAAGGGCT